TTGCCTACGAGAAGAGAAACTTGATGAACCCTTTCGATTCCCTCTTAATATTTGCTAAATGGAGAAAGACAGAGAACGAGAAAGTCGAAAAGGGAGAAATTGAGGAACAACTCCCAGCAGCAACGGAACTAACAGTAAAAAATATAAGCGAACATATTTCCTACTCCCACCTGGATTCTGGATGAAGGGAGTGACTTTATAGCTCCATCTAAGATACCTACTGGCACCTCTAATTTCGCTCTTTACCGACCTTACTTTATATTCGTACAATTTCAGGTTTTTAGGTTCCAGGTATTCATTTTTATTCCCCCTCAGAAATCTTCCAGATGAAAAAAATCAGTGGTATGCAAAATTACTTGAGTTACTTTAACTTTCCAACCTCTTCACTGTAACTTCTCCCACCAGGTAATCGGATACCCAGAAGGCTAGAAAGCCCCCGTTAGATTGATGTCTCTTTGCATCGAGCTCTTCGCAAACCTATCATGCTATGTACATATCTCCTCTTAGTAATCCTTCATGATGGGAAGCTTCCTGGAGAACCTCTTTATACTCCTGCGCGTCGCTCTCCTCCACAATATTCCTAAGCAATTTTTCATTGTCAGAAGAAAAGGAACGGTAATGGTCCTCAATTTGGAAGTGTGAAAAATTACGGCGGACCAATTGAGAAGGGCCAGAAGATGCATGCAAAGCAAAAGACGAAGAAACGGGATGCAAAGTTGGAAAAAACTCCCTGTAATGTGGAAAAACCAAATGAGCAGGCTCACGTGAAGGACCTACAACGAAGCTCCCGTCCAACTGCAAAATCTGACATGGAGAGCTGTAAAAAGGGCGTGACTCCCATGTAGTAAATTGCCAAGCTAACGAGAGCATGCTTTTTCTGAAGCTTGAAAATCGATGCTAGACTTCCTCGGAAAGATGAGAACCTTTTTAACACCAATACAATGACACATTTTCTATAAATCTGATGATATCGAGCTTTTCAAAGGGTTGGTTTAGTTAGTTTTTACCAAATCATGACTCTAAGACATCTAATCTTCTAATCATTTCCTCTACATCATGCAATACAACTCTCTGTACTTCATATTTAGGCTCTATGCTGACTTGGGCTCGTTTACTTTCCCAACTGTCTCTGTGGTAACTTTTCTCTCTCTACTTCGTGATCCGAGAGCTCTGATGCACAATCCTCCGTTTTTTCATTCAGCAGGATTTGAACTCTACCTTTGCGCTGAATCTCAAGGTCCCCATCTTTTTGATCCTTTTTTTCCTCTGCTTATCTCTTCGATTTCGTTGATCCAATGCTAGCTTTTGCACTAACTAAACGGAACAGTCACTTTAACGAGTAAGCTTAACTCATCCGCTGTGGATATTGTGTGACCCGGAGCAGTATGGGGAAAGCGGACTTCTTGCGCTGTCCATTATCCGTCCCACCTTCCTGCTTTCAACGTTTCTGCAACAGTCCGAATCAGTTGATGTGTTGTGAAAACAATGAATAAATTTCCTTATCTGTGAGCAATTCACGGCTCGGCGAGTTTCTTCCTTTTGTACGCTGTTTCCTCGCAATTGAGCCAGTCATAAAACACCGACAGTTTTAATACGTTGAACTTCAACAAAAATCGCATCTTGTAGCTAGATCTTCAATTTTGGCTTAGTACTTTTTTGTCTTACTCTTGCTCCATACTTGCCTTATGCATTCTATTTGCCGAGCTGCCATCGCTTCTATGGCAATAGCAAAATGAACTCAAAAGGAGCGAGGTTTAAATAGATTATGAAGCAAAATTCGAAAGAACGAGTAACCAATCTCTGCCTCTCTGCATTTGAGTCCTGTTTCTCTGTGCTGCCTTTGCTTCACCTACCTTTACTGCATCCCAGTTTCCTGATGATTTTAGGAAGTTTTGCCATCTTTTTTCGCAAATTCATGGAACTCCGTTTTAGGAAATTATAGGCCACTACACTGCATGTGCAGTTCCAGCCACTCTAGGAGTATATCTGACATGTCCTTGCAATCCCAGGAGAATTTTTCTTGGAAAAATTTTGGATTCGACAGCTCAAAAATGCTAGCATGGCTAGTCTCATTACATCGATGTAAGGAGAAACCAAAAAAATGCGATGTAGCTACTAGTTGTACAAAAACTACTTGTAGGCTGGTTCGTTTTGCCACTTATACTCACTACAGATAAATCACTCAGCGGTTGCTCCCGCGGTTAATCATAATCTGTGAGTGAGAGTCATTTCCACTAACTGGTGGGACTGCCAACACTCCATCGTCAACTCTCTCTCCTACTCTGTACATGGGACCTTCAGAGGCACATCGAATGCTGGCCTTGGCTCTCCATCGTTTTCTATTTACAGAAAGAGATGCTATCTCTTAGATGAACAAATAACTTCTGAGAGTTCCTGGGAAGCACACCTTAATTTTTTAGCACTTCGCACAGCACTTTTTTAGCACCTTAATTTCAGCGCTCTATGATCAGGAGTTTCGTAATTCTTAGCAGCCCAACCAGCATTCGATACAACACCAGTTTCCTAGAGTTTTTCAATTTCCTTTGTTACAGCTCTATTAAAGTCCTAAGAAGAATCTCGCTGAGAAGTGTGCAGATGCGAGGTCCATAAGGTCCATAGGCCTTTCTATCGAAATTCCGTTTGCGTAAAAAAGGAAAAATAATGATTTATCACTGAATATCAACGTACTGTCAGACCTTGAAAAAAACAAAATTCAAGCGCAAGGCGGAATTGCGAGCTTCTGTTTCTGACTTATAGGACTCACTGAACGTGCAGACGTAATTGCATCAATACGGATACTTTCTTCTTCAGCAAACAAAATCAAATTGAGAAAGGGGCTATCCAAGGCGCAAACAGCAGAACGCTGTTGGGAACCCAGAAAACACGGTGAATCTCGATGGCGACTACAGGAGTACTCGTATATGTTTGTCTCTGTCATCAATTCCATCTGATAGCGACACTTACAATAGCACCTGTTTAACATCAAACTCCTGCTACTGAACTTTTCATGGAATCAAACAAACATCTCAAACAAACATCAAAGCGATTCCGAACCAGCAGTTGATTTTCCTCATGAACATTTTTGTGAAGGCCACTTATTATCTCCCGTGGATGCGAGCATTACCTCTGCTGAATGAATAATCAAGTAAAAAAGTCAAATTAGAGTCCTAACTTCAACTACTGTTCAGTTGCAGGATTGTATGTTCACGAGCGGTCTTATCCTGAAATAGTGGTATTGCAGCAGTTCAGCTAGCTTCTCTGTGAACAAGTTCGTTGATTGGATTGGTTTTTGTGATTCTAAGATGGTATTGAAAGCAATAAGCGGAATTTTTGAGTTTCTACATCGAAGTTTTTGTAATTCTTCCAATCCGATCAAACAGATGCTTTGTCACGGGCTGCAAAGAGTTCTGGGCAAAAGCGATCACACATATGATTATCACCTACCATAAGGTTTTCCTGAAAGACACTAGGAACCCGAAGCGATGCGTTCTTCTATGGAAAAACTTCGAATTACTAGTGTATAAGCCAGCTTTTGTGTATTTTGAGCTTTGTGGATATTAATAGCTGCACTTTAAGTGTTATACATCCATAAGTCAGCACATTCGTCAGCACATAGAACATAAAAGGTCGAACACATTTTCCATTGGTTCACATAACATTTTATGCCCTTTCTGTTTTGCCCATCAAGTTTGATGATGAAAGCTCCATCAAAATCATGCCTTCAGCAATTCCTCGTAAAATTAAAAGGGAACAAAGCACTATGTAATTATAACGTGCTCAGTGGGAGTACCTGCATAGGAGTCCTTTTATTTCGCTAAAATTAACTAACAATGAGTACATTGATTCTGATGTTCCTTTGTTCAACCCGAATCTTTCGAAACTGTAATTATTCTGCATTTCTCCCACTGTTCAGGGTGAGGGAATACTGACTCCTCTGCCTGCATTTAGGTAAAAATGGATGGAATGGAAGAGTGAAGGGATTTGTCATTCACCTTGGGATAATTGGAACGCAGTTTCAATGAAAAGGCACCAATGCTGCTGACTGTCATAGAGAAAATCTATGTACAAGCTGCGTCCTCAGTTTTTTCCGCAGAATCAGAAAAATAGGATCATATAAACGAAGTGCTCAAGACAAATGTAAAATGCTCTGTTGTCAGTAGAGAACGATAAAGTTTTCTCGTTTTTTATGATTTTAGCTTTAAATATCCTGGACGGCAAGGCGGAGGTGGTGTAGTGACAAGTGGCGACTTCACACACGCATGGTTCCGGGTTCGAATCCTGGATCGATATCTGCCTAGGCCGACCAAACCATCCATCTCTCCAGGGTTGGTTGATTGGTACTGGACTCGCCTGGGACAAAAGTACCGACTTGTACATCGGCGGGCCAACGCAAGTCATTGTATAGGCCACACACGCATTCAATACGTCAATACGACTCTGAATGGAAGTCGAATGCGTTAGCGCGCTCCTTTACAGGACTGATGAACGCCCCAAGACTTTATCCTTTACTTTATATCCTGAACAAGTCTCCTCCTCATGAAGTTCTAGGGAAGGAATTGCATCACATCAACAATTATGGAGAACTTACTGAAAAAAGTTTGATGTAGCATCAGAAGCTGAAGGTAAGTTTTTCGATCTGTTCCAGACTGCGCCTCTCCTTTGACATCTAGGTGACATACGCTAGTAGCACCCCATATTTTTCGAAACACTGCGTCCTGTTCAATTTAGTTTTTGGCAGTAGAACTGTGAATGGGCCCTGCATAAGTCGTAAAGTGCAGTGTGTGATAGGGGAGGGGAGTAGCTGCTGAGAAAAAATAATACCTATGAATTCTTTTTTAAAAAAGTTTTCGAAAAGCTGCTACCTCGTAAAGGAACAGCAGTTTTCGGGTCGAGTTCCTCTACGATCGCGATGTTTCGAACTTGCCCATTCACCTCATATCTGGTCTTGAATCTTGTATTAAAGTGGGACAGATCTTGCAGACCGATTTGGCTATTCCGCGATGCGCCTCTTGCTGACGCCGGCAGTTCGAAGGTATTTTGAACATTTTTGTTTTTTTTTCTCAGTTATGTTTGAAAGGATTATTCTTTTCTAGTGCTGCATTCTATGTCGGTTCTACGGTATTCTGCTCCTTGGTGGGCAAAGTTATCGTCACACGATTCTTCTTTGACTATCCTGTTGTCATCCTTATGCTTCAAATGGCTACCACTTTATTCTTAATCGAATTGCTCAGGTGTGTGAAGTGTTTGTTTTTCAGAATGTTCCTGTAGAAAGCAGTTGAGAATTTGGGTATGTAAATGGTCCGAAACCCTATCAACCATCACAGAAACTTATTTTGGAATTACCTTTTTTCGTCATCGAATTCTTTACTTAGCTCATTCTTATTACTGATCTAAAAAATTACAAGCCGCAAGTAACAGAATATTACTAGCTAAAGATTTTTATGTTCCCTGTCTCTGAGCGGTGACGTACTGGCATGTAGCGCACTTCACACACGCATGGTCGCGGGTTCGAGTCCCGGATCGATGTCCGCCTAGGCCGACCGAGCCTTCCATCCCTCAAGGGTCGGTAAATCGGTGCCAGACCCGTCTGAGAGGATAAAAGCACTGACCTCTACATCGGCTGGCCACCGCAAGTCATTGTATAGGTCACATACGGACTCATTATGCCACTCAATTCTAGATGGAAGTCGAGGGCGGGGACACATCCTTTAGACGAGATTGATTAACGAAAACTTTTTCCTTTATTTTTTTTTTTGTTCTCTGTCTCTGACAGACTTGTTGGTGCCTTGGAACGGGTAGGACGGCGCAGTAGTTGCATAGCCGCTTTGCATCGCGTTCGAGCTAGGGTCCACAGGACTGTAAGGGTCATTAAACAGATTGCTGTCCTAAAAAGCATTAAAAGACTGACAACACTTCCCATACCTAGCTCCGCAAACTTTCTGAAGCTATACAACGGACTACTTTCATAGAATTCTAGGTGAATGGTACTCGTTTGTTACCGTTTGTTGGTATGAGTGCATATCAGAATTTTCAGAGTGTTTGGAATAATAAAGTTGTCTCCATATTCATTCGACAAAGGACGACACTGCTTCTTACCTTCAATTTTGCTATGTATTGCCCAATGGCTCACCGTGGTCGCTTTCGAAGGAATAGGGATGCCGGCATTCGAGGCTGTGAAGAGGTTTGCGAATTGGATTTACTGCCAATAAGTACGAGTATAAACTGTGTAAAATTATTTACCTTTGCCGGTTTGACTCGTGAGATGTGTCCTGGCTTGTCTTTTTCACCTCCTACTCCTCTAGATTACAATCAATCTAAAATTAGATGCAGCCTAGACAGAATGATGAGAGCCTGGCTCATTCCAGTGTACAAGTTTGATTTGCATAAGTTCTCGGCATTTTTTCTTTCTGTTTGTAAGCTCCAATCCTTAAGCGCAGCTGCCCCATAGTGCTCCCTACTTAAAGGGGGTTTCCTACAGTTTGGTATATATAGTTGGTGGTGTGTAGAGGTTCTACTATTGAGGCGATTAGTTGATTCTACAGTTCCGAACGTCGTAATCGTCATTTGTAACCTCATTGAACTTGTCTCGCTAGGTTGAAATAATGTTTGAAGGACTAATAGCATCTCTTTCCTAGTCCTTAAGTAGAGTCGAGACGTCAACCGAGTAAAATCTCGATCATCCAGCTCAAGCCTTGAAAGTAACACTGTCTAAGGCACTACTTACAATTAGTCAACTAATTTCCTGAAAATATTCGACGAAAAACTGAACATAAAAAACCTAAACAGTATGAAAGAGGGGAGGGGAGTTTTAGGGTGAAAGAACGATTAAAGAAACACGCAGATGAAGGACCACCAGTCAATCAGAAAGGCGAAGTGTGTTGCGGTGGAGGCACGCTTTAGAACGGGACCACCACGGACTAAGGTCGAGATGAGGGTGTTTCCAACATAGTGAACAAGCTAGACCCACCTTTCTTCTCCTGATCGACTTGCCCATAAGAGCAAGATACTATCTAGACATCAGGTGGCATCATCAGGCATATTTACTGTAATTATTTAACTAAGCAATTATTTATTTATTTCTTCAAATACGGTAGAGTATGTGGCATGTAGCACACGAAGGTAGTTTGCCCGAAGAAACAAATAGTGGAATTTCGCGGAGATCTCTTTTACGTATGTACACACAGAAGTGTTCAGAAAGGTTGCTTTTTCTCAGTTTAGAAGATGAAAGAGGCAAACTGTGAGATTCTTGTCTCCTCCTGATACTAAAGGACTTTACTAGATATTGGGCCTGGTGAGATCGTCATGCGTTCGGGACGAATTCCTGATTTGCTTAAAGACGGTGAACAGCAGATGTATAAGAAATATGACGACAATGTTAAACAGGCAATGGAAGTATGATGTCAGAAGCTCCCATGACGGAACGTATACCAGAAAGGCAAAAGTGGGAGCAGAACTAAAGGCGGATTTCGGAGTTTATGTAAATTTGCGATGGAGTAATCAGGGGAGAGCTACCTAGCTAAAATGAATGGTTTGAATAAATTGGTGTAATTACAGAACTACAAAATCATGCAGATAACAAAATATGTAATGTGGGCCCATGGTAGCAAATTCATTCACTTTTTTCTATGATGCCTTGTTGACTGTTACAGAATCACTCCTCTGGTGATCCTTCTCGGAGCAAGTGCAGTGTCCCGTCAAAGCCGTTTGGATCATGTTCAGCTGGTTGGCATTGCCGCCGTTTCGTTTTCGTCATTTCTGACAGGTATACCTTCAGAATGTTTTTCTTGGTGGTTTTTGAAATAATGAGCGTTTGTTTCACTCCTTGGACATCGGTAGATTGCGTAGTGCGACGGATTATTTTTGCTGGGTGTTTACAGACCCGTCTATGACATTATTCTAGGTCAGAGCATTTTGAGTATGCTGAAGAGTATGATACGGTAGGGCCATAGTAGCTATGGCAAAAGATTGCGGTGATTGACAATCTCATCATTTGAAACTATCGAAATCAGGGCATTACCAGCAGCTTGCTACCTGTTACTGAGATATCCGAAAAACTTCCAATCCCCAGCATTTAATAAATGTTTTCGTCTTTTTCTTTATGACGACGCTGATGGTTTGAACATCTTGAATATCAATAGGCAAGGCAAAAAACGAAAAGAGAGGACTAAAGATATTGAAGATACCTTTCGAAGTTACCATTCAAGCGTCACTGACGCATTCACTACCATTCGAGAAATGCACGGCAGGGAAGGTCGTTTTTGTAAGGAACTCGAAGTATTCCTAGGTGTCGTGAAAAATTTGAGCTTCAAGTAATCTTACGCAATTCTGTGTTTTCTTCAAGTGCGACATTTTGAGAGGCCCCGATTGTTAAGTGAATATATCCAAATTCTTCAAGTAAACTGACGAAAGGCATTGAAAAGAGTGCGAAGAAATTAGCAAGCCCACAATCTTATCAAAATGATCTTTTTGTAGGCTACTAAGATCATCTTGAAATTTTTTTGATTCTGGTTCAACGTTTCTTTCGATAAGGGCAAAACTACTTTGTTGTATCCACTACCAGTAGCATTTTTACCTTTGAAGGGGAGAATTTTACGCAAGCGCTGTGTATGAGGGTATTCAATCCCGCTTTACCAGGCTTAGCTCCACCACTTAGAGAGCTCGTTGAAACGTCTCGGAGTACCATGGAACACCATTCAAACCGTTCGCTTACGTTAGTTGTTCGATGCCCACCTTGGGCTCTTGTGGGAGCTGGTATTGCCGATCGCAGGCACAGCTACATCAGCCAATTTGAATTGTGCTGTCGGTGGCTGGTGGGAATGCGAAATCCCATGGTCTCTCGGTTGCGAAACTTTATTTGATAGAAGGATGCAAAGCCCGGGTCCACAAATCTTACTCTGTAAAGGTTTATGTACATCCAACTCTTGGGAAGTTTTAGGCTTCAGTCTCTTTAGTTTCCTCTCGTTGCTGCTTCACGATGCCTGTAGCTCAACAATCAATTCAGGCTTTTGAGGCAGTCCCCAGCCTTCCCCCTTCCACAGCCTTTGCAGTTACCGGGACATCTTCTCCGAAGAAGCGCTCACTATTCCCGTCGTCTGCATATCCTAAGCGGAAAATCAGACTAAGGTGTGATAGGTGAAGGCGCAAATCCGTTGAACAGGCACCTAGCAGTAAACAAACAATGTAGGTGTAGAACGCGGAAGTTGTGCGAAATTTGTTTTGTAAGCAAAGTCATGAATAGGAAGTAGCTTCACGGAAGCAGCTTGCCCCTTTCAGCCGCCGAGTCCACTGGCTGCTTTCATAGTCCTTGATTTGGTGAGCGAGCGAGCGACCGCGCGACCAGTGGTGCGACTGGTCGCGCGATCCGTCGAGGATGCGGCACTAGCGATGGGCGCTGCCGAGCGATCGGTTGCGCGATTAGTCGCGCGATTGGTCTCTCGCCAAATCGTGGACTATGAAAGCAGCCACTCAGTCGCCGGTTGAGCACAAAAAAAGCCTCGGTTAATCTGTGATAGAATTTGGTGTGAACTGTATCTCGGTGCTTTTAGCGCTCATGCCACCTTCAGTTGAAGCTTAGGGCTGCTTCATGCACTCATCAATAGGAGGAAGGAATTATTTCAAAAGCAAAAACTCAATTGAGCACTATATAAATCGATTAAACTAAACTACGCACTTCAGATTAAGTAAACTGTGAGCACATCGCTTTGTCCGTCTTTTTCAGTCAATTTTGAACTTTCACTTGATCAGTACTCGCTGTTCTATGGATTACTGGCTGCCATTCTACAAGGCGCCGCCTATCTACAGTTCGAGTCTCTTTCACACACATACCAGGTTCGTCATCTTTTTGTGCTATCTCCTTACGCAATACATTCTCAACTGTTCATTCCAGGCTCTCGAGCTGTTGTATATGCATGCGTTCAATTCCTTAATTGTATTCCTTATAGCAGATGTAGTTCAGGTATGCTTTTGCCCTTTGCAACTATCTGCTACATCTCCGTCTATCTCATGACTGATTCTTTGAATACCGGTTGATTAATCGTTCTACCGGAGTTTCAAGACTGAAATTCAGTTTGTCTGTGTCGGTCAGCACTTGCCATAGTCTTCGGCTCATTTCGCCATGACAGAGGCTTTGAAATCCAATATAATATGTACAAGCAATAACCTTCAAATTTTTGTCAACTAGCCTTCGTAAACAAACAAACGAACAACTGCACAATAAGCCTGGGATATTATATGAGCAATCGTCTTCACTGCAGTCTTCTTTTGAAGTCATTTGAAGCTGATCAATCCCGACTTTGATCTGAGCCTCCTCATTACAATCCATTTCTGAATCGTGGTTATGATCCAAGTGCGTACTTGGCCTATACAAACTTGTGGGAGAGGAAGGTAGGAACGGTTTTGTGTAATCGATTCGCCGCACGCGGCTGTCGCAGACCATTTGCCTCGTTATAGCATTTATAACATTCTTCATTCAGCTCAATCGCTATGCGATTATTACTTTGGCATGATTCTACTATTAATTCTATTGTTCCTCCATTTCTTGCTTGCTGCTGCATCCTGCTCCATTCCTTCGCGTGCTGCGTCTCTCTCACCGCGACGCGACAATTTCGTTCCTACTGCACCACACCCCAAAAATGTGGGCCGATGCACATGCACGACCCAAACAAGTCTAGTACCAATTGACTTCAAGACCCCGATGGGATGGTTCGAGCAGGTGTCGAGCCAGGACTCACCTAAGCACCACGCGTAAGGTAGTGCCATCCTTTTGCTATGACGCCACCACCTCTACTGCAGTAGCATTCATAAAAGCGTTTCACCGCTCAGGAGCAGCTGTCTCGACAATGACCTTCTGATGACTTAGCTGCCTTTCCCAGACTACCTTCCGTTTCCCACTCTTCTTGGAAAGATTTAAACACAAGATTTTTTCCAAGAAAATGAAATTTGGATTAAATTCAGAGATTACAGGACGAAATCCGTGACGCATTTATGTACATGATGACATCCGCACATCCGCTGTTCGCCAGCGTGTTCGCCATCTTGCTGGTGGCTGGAATTCTGCTTCAGTTCTCCACATTCGTCTGCATAGAACACAATGGCGCACTCAATACACAAATCATTTCAAATATTCGAGCTGCTTTTCAGGTTTGATCCAAGTAATTCTTACAGAATCCCCCTCATCCGGGTTACTTTGCAGGTTTTCATCGCCTACTTTTTGTCGGTCTACTTATTCTACGATGTTTCACCCGGTATATTTAATTATATGGGACTTCTGCTAACTATCGGTGCCGCTTATTACGTATACAATCAACGAAGCGTCGATTCTATTCCACAAAAAACCGCCTGGACGAGTAAAGCCTAGATTTAAGCTTGGCATTATTTCATATTTAAGGGTTGCTCTTAATATTTCGTGGTGTTCAATAAATATTTAAATCACTTGATGACCGATATATTAGATCAATTTGGAAAACAGCGGGTAAAAACTCGAACAGTAAGACAGACTAGGCGGGTGCGCTTCGTTGCGCGCGTCCGTCGAAACTAGGTTACGCCGCAGCCGTCGCATGCGGCAGATCAGCCCGCGATACTTGACGGATGTCGCAGTTGTCAGTGGGGCATACGATGTCCATGTCAGTCAGCTCAAAGAGAAGAGAACACGATCAAATGCAAATCGTTCTCTCCACTGACACTTGGTGGTACTGTAATGTCATATCGAGGCCTCAGTGGGGTGCGCCGCGCGCGAAGTGGGCGGAGTGACCTACTATCGACGGACGCGAGCAATGGACGTTCCCCAGACTAGGCATTTCTTCAGTGTCACCCAGTTAAATGCCATCTGCTTAAAGTCAGCCTATCAGTAGAATTTACTGATGGACTTACTGTAGACATGCCTCCGCGGCAGCCGCGTGCGGAGAATCGATTACAGAAAACCGTTCCTACTTCCCGTCTCCCAGAATAATAGTATGATGGTATGACATATGGACTTACATCCATATACGCATCCATACCCACACACACCTGCACACCTACACTTACACGCTCCAGTAACACACATACGCTCAACACCCACATACACACACAAATACAAAGATTCACTTAAGCACATTACACGTATCCTTACTTTATATAAAGCGCTCGCGTCTGTCTGTCCGCCCTTCTGGGTTTCTGCGAACAAAATGTTTCAGCGGAAATTCATAACTCCTGTCTTCGTGGACCTAGGACGTTCAAATTTGGTAGGAGCACACTCGGCAGGATGGGAACACATATGGTGGGTGGCAGGACGAGACTCCGTCCATAGGGGGCGGGGTTTGTGCGAACAAAGTGTTTCAGAGCAAAATCACAGGAGTAGAGGGGACAGGATGGGAACACTGACGATAGAGGAGGCCATAGAGAACAAGATCCAATCACCAGTTGAGTCCCAGCGTCTTTGTTGTTTACGATTTAGCTTTGATTCTTTGATATGTTTCATTCGACAAGACGGGTAAGTGCACTGATAGGGACAGAGTATGAAATTTGGTACATTTCTTGCTTACGACCGCTACCCAGCGAAGTTTGCGATTCAATGAAGGGTCACGGGTTCCCTCTGCTTTGATATCATTCATGGCAAAACTTATCCGACCGCTAACAATCTTGGATTCTTATTCAATGATGATTAGAGGAAAGGAGCTGCATTCATAAAGACATTTGATAATGGTATTATTATGGCTCGACAACATTTGTGAGAACCATTCACAACAGCGACAGATCGAGGCAGACAGATCCTAATCAAAGGCATAGGCATCGGCACATTTTGAATATCGTTTGCATGCCCTATTGTTCCTCTATCGAGCTTTATTTTCCGAAAAGCATTATTCAGTGTTTCCAGCAAAGGGGTGTGCTGTTGCCGTTTATCACGACGTCCGACTGTCTCTATATATAGAGCGGTAGTTTTTTGTGTCTGTTTGTATGCCCGTTTGTGCGCCCTTCCTCACGTAGGCACAACGAAGAGTGCGAATGTCAAGTGAGCGTGGTGAGGAAACAGTTCAAATGGGAAGTGAAGCGATACTGTTCATATTGGCCCTCTAACAAGCCGTTGGTAAGTGGTAGTGGGCATGTGGTGCGCGCATTAGCGTGTGTAGCCCAACTGGTACAGGAATAAAGGAGCTAACAGTAGAATCATGCCTAAAATAAGGATCGCATATCGATTGAGCTGTATTAAGAACGCTAGAACTGTAGTAATGGCGAAGGAATGGTCTGCGACAGTCGCGTGCGACGAACCAATTACAGAAAATCGTTCCTTTTGCCGTCTACTACTGTTGTTTCATGCACTCGTAGTGGTGATATACTGCTCAATGATGAACATGAACTATGCTGAGCATCTTCACACAGTTGAAGTCGGCTTCGATACAGCCGAACCAACAACCGTGCACTATTCAGAGGTTGTTTATCAAAAAGGAGTGCTTCACCACACTGTAGGCCTCTTTGTAGGGAATGCAGTCCAGTCCCTTGTCGAGAGCTGATGTATGCTAGTAGATTCACCTAACGATCTAAACCAACCTACCATGATCTACCCACCATCTGAATAGGCCTACGAATGCTGAGCTCTTAATGAGCATGAGTGGTTTAATTCTATACATTTCTATACTCACCCCTTCAACCGCCGTAACAGCGCATCTAAGCAATACACGTGAACAGATCAAGCTTTAATATACTCCCTATATTTGCTATGGTGCTCGTTCGACACTATGTTCTAAGTGGTTCGAAGCTCATGTAAGATTTCCAATGTGTCCGGCGGTAGGACACATAAGTAACATATGCATTCAAGCATTGACACTCAGAACAAATTCTCGAGGAAACCTTTATTTGTGAGCTCAATGGGTTAGCAGAATGGATGGTTCCTCGGCTGTGCTTGCAGGGATCTTCAGAAATTGAGATCAGATCTGAAATCATCTCCTTTCGTTGACTCGACTTGCTGCCACAACCACTTTTACACTTGACTACTCAACAACTGAGAGAATACTTACGGAGAATG